AGAGAGAGAGAGAGAGAGAGAGGTAGCTGTTGTGGCTCCTTCAGCTAGGCCAAAAATATATGGCAAGAGAGGGAAAGAGAAGAAGGTGGTCTTTAAATATTATTTGCAGGCAAACAAAGTGCTGACATTGGCTGCAGAATTCCATTAAAGTTATAGATGTTAGGAAAAAGATCTATGAGGTTAAAGTGGGTCTCAAGATGTTGGCCCAAACTTGACAGATTGAGGTTTAGAATCGTCAGCAAATCTGAAGTGGTAAATATAGGAGCCAAGTAGATCAACTCAAATGAGGCAACAGAAATTTGAATGAAGGATTCAGCATGGCCTCCAAAAATCCTTATATCCCAAAGAGAAGAAAGAGAACGTTGCATGTGCAGGAAGAAATTGCAAAGGAGCAACAACAACTGGGTTCTTGCTTCACCATGTACCGAAGCTGGCACCTGCCACTGATTGCTGATGGGGCCACAGTTCAGAGCCTGCACACTGCCATTAAAAGTCTAGCTTGGAATGTCCTGGATGAGCACAAGGACCACAGTGTTTCATAGATGTTCTGTGTTGGCCACAATCAATAGGAAAAGAGGATGATGTGCAGAAGATGTGACGAGTTTACTACTGTTTCAAGCATTTTCCAGTTCCTGTACTCTGGTCAGTGATGCCAATCGTGATTATAGCAGAATCATTATGTCCAGGTAACAGAGATCATACATGGCTATATAATCAATCAGGCAATGGAATGATTGTGACCTGCAATGATGGCTGTAATAATATATACAGCTGTTGATATGCTGCGTGGGAAGGAATAATTGAAGCTTTCTCTTTTATTTCCCTGCTTTATTTCTTGTCCCTCTCCTCTCTCCACCCTTCAAAGATACATGGTCCTTGAGAGAGAGAGAGAAAGAGAGAGAGAGAGATGGAGGTGGGGGTAAGATCCTCCTCCACTCCAAAAGAAAGGAAAAGATGCAGATGCATGGCCCCCTTCACATGGGAAAGAGTGCTCTTGTATCATATGGGAATTGCACAGGAGCCACTTCTCTTTTGCTTCTCTTCTTTCCCAAAGTTGCCTTCTTTGCTTCCTAGTGCTTCTACTTGACTCCTTTTTCCTCCTTTAGGCTTCGTGGATTATCTGGCTAAAGCTAATCCACTCCCTTGCATGCTTGGGTCACTTTGAATTCATCCATGGCATCTGAAACCTCCCTTTTAGGGTGGGGGGGTGCTCTGTGGCTAGTTGGTAAGCACCTCCTCCTCGAAGCCAAGGAGAAGAAGGGTAGCCATTTGACAAGTCACCATCTGAGACTTTTGTGACGGTGGTGTAAGAAGCATGTGAAGTTTGCCACCAAGCAATGTGATGAATGCTAGTGGATTGAGAGAAGATCCAATGAGATATCTTGAATGGCCACATGAAATGGTCAGTCGTGATCTTGATGCCCATCTAAGATCTTTCTCCAATGGCAAATGGCCCCTGAACAGTCTCTCTCTCTCTCTCTCTCTCTCTCTCTCTCTCTCTCTCTCTGTCAAGTGCAGAGAAGCAAGAACTACCTTGTCGGGCAACGGTAAACCTCTCCGTTTCTTTCACAAGAGATCAAACAGCATGTAGCGACAATTCAAGCAGGACGATAGGGAAGAAATGAAGTCACGAGATTCGCAAGACAACCACAAGAAGAACAGAAGACGGAAAGCATAGTTTTCTAGATGGATGATTGGACATCGAGTGAGTACAAGAGACAAATCAAACTAGTAAGTAATGTGCCCATCATTTTCGATATCAGCACGGCGATCACCGCACCCCATGCAGTGGTGCTACCTGCGACAAAGCCGGTCTTCAGTTCAAGGAGAGAAGGAATGACCGCCAAAGGCCTTCAAAAGCCGAGGCACTAACACAGGCCTCTTTAGCTTTAACTAAAGAATGGTGCGCTTCACCTCACACCCCTCATTTTACACTGGGAAAGCAGGCGATGAACGTGCTCGGCCAAAGGAAAAGACAAAAAGAGAGAAAGAGAGCTTCGAATTAAAGAGGAGGAGAAAACAAAGCGAGAACACATCATTCTTTTCTTCCCTCCATTCTTTGAAGAGATCATCGATCTGGCTCGGAGGACAAGAGAGGATCTTTGGAAGGTGCCATGTCTCACCCTTTGCGTTGGCAATGAATGACACGAGAGAAACTAAAGTCTCGATGCGTGCACACTTCCCCAGTTTGATGGCAGAAGCCTTCCTTGCTCGCCCGGATGCCCCTGCCCAGCCACCATAGGCTTTCTTTTAGACTTCTCTAATGCATGTCCTTCCTCTCTCTTAATGTGCAGGAATCAACATGTCGAAGCTGAACACTTCACATCACACAGAGAAACTCGTATTGATTGCTTGTAACGAGATGGACATCTGCTTCTTTCTCGCTCGAGCTTTGCCACTTTGAACTCAGTGGAAGAATCCTCGCCTTTTCCTTTTGTCTTGTGCCGCTTCTTTGGAGTTGCAACGTCCACAGCATGCTTTGTTCACGTTGCAAAAGGAGCCACCGCTGCAAAAGAGACACTCAAGGTTGGTGTTCCATCAAGATCGGCAAAGCATTGCTTGCCGACCTATGTGGCCGATCCAAATGGTTTGAACATTGCGGCCTACTATTATTATTGTTCCATTACACTTCAACTACATTTAGTTCCATTACTTGCTTGCTTGATTCTAACTAAACATGTGAAATATAGGAGGCGACGAGCAGTGCGAACGAGATTAGAGATAATGCATGGGCAAGAAATGATCAAACAATAATTAGCGTAAAATAAAATATAGGAGGTGATGAGTAGTGTCTTCTTTCCGTTTTTTAAGGTGCTCGAGTCCAAGCATCTTCTTTCCGTTCTAAAAGCATATGATAGTGGAATGCCGATTTGGGTCGACACAATCCCACAAGTTTAGCTTCATGGATTATGGAGACACTGCTGTCGAAGAAAAAGATGATTATGGACTCGACCACACCAGTCTTTTTTGTGCTCATAGAAACTAACATCAATCGATCAGACAATGATGTGATGGAGCATTTGTCATCATTTCTAGCATTATTAGCTAATGTATGTGCATATTATAATCGAATTAGTTTATATTTTTACCTTGGTATAATAGCATTAACCTGTGCTTTACGTGAGCAGTCACAGATGATGGATCACCGAAGGCTGCCTCGCCTGTGTTGTTCCATCATGCTGCTGTCAGGCAGCCTTCGGAAAAGAGTTGACAACCATCAATAATGTTGAAACAGTGGAAGTATCAGTCTCATTCATGTCATATCTGCATCTCGAGTGGCATATCGACAATCACACTCTTTCCACCACCGTGGCTGATTCTGATCTCGTCTCCTTCCATGGGTGGATGCATTGCAATTGCAAAAGAGTCAATTTCAGATGAAGAATCTCGTTATCTTAACGTATGCTAAGATGCACCATTATACACTGCTCGAAACCTGCGTAGAAATTGAAGGAGGTGCAGAAACTGAGAGGGATTGAATCGTCTGACAAGGTGATCAATGCTTTTGGGCCCTGGAGAAATGATACAAGGCAAAGCATTAATGAAGGGAGAAGAAGAAGAAGAGCACGCAGGTAGAGCCGGCTGCCTCATCTGCTAATTGCAGCAACTGCCGCTGCCGGAAACTGACTCCATCAGTTCATCAAGGCGAGCAGAGACTGGCAGCACGGTACCTAAGCCTTCTTTGAACAGGAACAGGAACAGGAACAGGAACAGGTCATGGATCTCGAAAGTTTGGAAAGCTGCCTCCTGCTGCAGGTCTTCACTGGAAGAGACAACATAAGTACTTGGGACAGATTGCGGACCCTTTTGGTGTCATTTACCAGTTCATGCAGAAATTATGGTCAGATGCTCTTCTACTTTGTCAGAGTGGAGATTCTGGACAAGATTTGGATACAGTGCTCGGTCATCAGTGTCAAATAAATAAACATTCAAAGATGTTCTTGCACTGAATTCTGATGGGTAATTACAGTATTTTTTTAGACATTTTATCCTAAAATCCTAATATTTATTGATTCTTTTCTGTACTGGATTGGATGGCATCTACTATTGGGTTTGTTTTACTGGATGGTGGGACCTTTTCTCCTCACTTGGACAAAAATATCTTTAGATTTTCTCTTAAATAATTTGATTAGATTCATATCCTAGTGATTATGTAGAATTTTAAGTTGAAACTGACAAAATTAAAAAATATTTAACATTGATAATTAATTATATAAAATTTTAAAAAATAATCATGACTAGATAGTTTAGTGAAACTTTAAATTGGTTTAGTAGAATTTGACTAAGATAACACTCGAAATTGAATCGAATCATACTCGATCACAAAAAATCTCTAAATTTAACAATTAATATCATATATTTTTTAAATAATACTTATTATCTTAGAATGATATCCTAATGGTTCTGTGAAATTTTGGATTGATTTAGTAGAAAAATATCAGTTCAAAAAATCTTAAATTTTAATAATTAATTTTTATAAATTATTAAAAAAATTAAAAAAAATTAATATTAATCATCTAAAGATCATGTTCTAGTTACATTTGAATTACACTAGATCATAAAACCAACCTATTCAAAGAGTCTCCCATTTCAATTAAGTTTATTTCGTCGATATTTTATTATTCATAAAAAACATACTCTCAAATAAAAATGAATAGAAAAACAATATCCATTAAAAAGCCAATAGTTGATGCATGCATGCATGCATGCAGTAGCTAAACTTATGTATCATTTAGTTATTCCTAAGTTTCACTTGGTTGCCTCAAAGCATAAGCTTGTGTATAAAAGGTTAAATATTTATCCTTCCCTTTTTCCTCTGTCTCCTTTGTGTGACATAAAGTCTCCTCAGGGATTCACTCAAAAGAGTTGAAGGATTCAGTTTCTGCAGTAGGAATGTTCACTATTCAGGCAAACATATATTCATGAATCTTCTTGTAAAGAATATATGTCATCAAATTTTACAGACAGCAAATGATCCACTGAAAGGCCTAAAATTTTGATTGAAATTTTTTGGCTGAAACTTTATGGTAATAATCCTCACATCCAAATCTTTTACAGTTCTGAAAGAAAACTGAAGAACAAGTGGTTCCGTTTCCATACAGACTGCAATTTCCTAAAAGATCTAAGAACTTTAGCTATTTAGAAATTCTGATTGAAGTCTTCTTGCTGAAAATTTATAGTAATAATCCTGCATGCAAATCTTTACAGTTTCGAAAGAAAACCGAAGAACAAGTGATTCCATTTCCATTCTGATTGCAATTTCCTTCCTTGGGGGAAAGATTAAGACCAGACTATTAAGTTTATTCCCAGTAGATAAACAATGCATTCATTACCTTGAATGCATGAAATTTCATGATCCACATCTGCGTTCTTGGTTGATGTCCTCAGCACAGTGGGTGTCTCATCTGTTTCAGAAGTAGAGTTCCATAACCTTTAAGCAAACTTACATCAGTTTGATGCTTCATGAGATGTAAACCTCGCAAGAACATATTGGCCGTGCCTATGCCACCATCTTGAAGAAGTATCTCTTCAGGAATTCTATTTATCATTCTATAAAGTGTCACAAGTATTTTTAATTTGTGTTTCTACAAATTATTGATTTTTAATTCTATCAAGTTAATAGATCATTTATCTCATTGGGTTGAAATCATAGATAGATGAGATGATCCTCGTATATGCTATATAATCTGGTTTGGTTTCGGATTAGGATATAAAGCCATCAGCTATGAGATATTGTAATATCCAGTAGTAATAGATGGATCTTATATGGACGATGCTGAAAGAAAATTCTAGAGCAGTGAGCCTTCAAGAGATGTGCATCGAAATAATTAGGTTTAAGACTTTGATCGCACACGCCACTCGATTAATTCTATAGTCCAACCACATGAGCACACCACCATCGCAACGTAAGCGCTTACACTAACAAGAGAGATGACATGCTTTAGCTTAAGCCATCAACTTTGACTCCTTTGTCAGATAATGTATTCTGCAAAGCCAGCATCGAGCAGATTTCACTGTACATGATCTCAGCCAAAAGCTTTCGAGATGCAGTAGCTGAAGAAGCCCAGGAAATGGAAGACAGTAGAGAGACGTGGGTCGAGAAGAATCACTCACCCATGCCTACAATGCCGTGCTATCGGTTCTGTCGCCCGCATGTTTTGTTCTTGCTTGTTCTTGAGATGATCGGAGGACAAAGATACGACACAGATTCTTCTTGGAAGAAATATGCTTTGGGTCACAAAAATTCCCATTCTACTGTCGAACGCATGCTTGACAGAAGTCCATGGAATCAATTTTATATTAGGAATTTGCTCCACTTGATGTGTCAATAATTTTTAGTATATCCTGTGGAAGATTTGAGTCTTGAAGGTGAAATAGATTTCTTGAGAGTTTATGTTTTGGTGATGGAATTCTTTGGAGGGACTATTTGCAGGTATCTGTTGGATTTTAGGGTACAAAATAAAGCCCATAATAAGATTTTGCAAGGCTAAAAATAGAAAATTCCAGAAATTAAATTTGAATATAAAAGAAAAAAACTAAAAATGAGCAAAATGCTGATTTATTTAGAATAATTTAGTCGAATTCTTAAGAAAGCAGGAGATGGGTAGGTAGGGAGGCGGCGGCCCCCACAAGCGGGGCCCTTCCAGCCATAACGGCCATTGCTTTGCCGCCTTCGTTCCTTCGTCCGCTTCAGTAGATTACGAGCGCATCCTCTATAACCCTCCACAGCGCAACGAGAGCGACGAGGAGTGGAAGAAGTGGGGGAACGACGAAGTCGGTACGCGAAGTCGAGGTGGGCAATCACGGCTTGAAGCGTTGGAGCCGGCGGGAGGGGACACCACCGCCTCCTCGACACCGCACCGCAAGTGGAGACCCCCAAGCGCCGTCCCCCTTTCTCCACCGGCCTTCTCTTGGACAAGGAGCGCAGCCCCGCTCCCCACGGCGGTCGCGGCGCTCTCCCCTCAGCCGGTGGTAGCTCCTCCGACCTCCTCTTCCTCGCCGGCGGTGGGAGAGGACTCTCCCCCTCCTTTTCCCCTGCCCTATTTTGGTTAATTAGCTTAACCGTCCCCACCTCCCCCCTGTTCTCCCTTTTTCTCGTGTTACGTGAATAACCGATAGAGAAAGGAAGATGCTAACTATTAAGAGAGTCCCGACCGTGCTCTCAAACTATCAGGAAGATTCCGGCGAGCCCCGCGGCTGCGACCGAAACTGCCTCAGCAAGTGCTGCTTGGCCTGGTAACGCGCAAAATTCCATCTTGATTTTCCCTTTTCTCCAAAACTCGTCTTTTTGTTTTTCTTCCTTTTTGGAATCCTCTTGGGCGATTCGATTTGCTTTCACGTCTGATTTGTTGCGGGAAAACATTGGCAGTCTCCAAGCTTCCGCTTTATGCCTTCGAGAGCGACGCGAGGCCCAAAATTTCTTCCCCTGGTGACGACGAACCACCGTCCGACTTCTTCCTCAACACCCTTTTGCTGGGACAGGTACCATTCTTCTATACGTGCCATCAAAATTCGAACTTTTTTGGGAGTTCTTTCTAGTGTCTTTCTCTGTGATTCTGATGTGCTTTTGGGGATTTCACAGTGGGAGGATTGGATGAGCCGTGGGCTGTTCCGGTACGACGTGATGGCATGCGAGACTAAGGTGATCCCTGGGGAGTATGGCTTCGTTGCGCAGCTGAACGAAGGCCGCCACCTCAAGAAGAGGCCGACTGAGTTCCGCGTCGACCGCGTCCTCCAGCCTTTTGATCGTGCGAAGTTTAACTTCACCAAGGTCGGCCAGGAGGAGGTCCTGTTCCGCTTCGAGCCCGGGGAAAGTGGCAGTGGCCGCTTATTAGAGGATGATGCAGTTGGTGACGCCAACGCCCCCAATGTTGTTGCAATCAATGTAAGAGCTAAGAGCTACTCCCGATTCATGACATTCACGTTCAGCCGTTTCTATCTCTATTCACGTGTTTGCAGGTGAGCCCCATTGAGTATGGTCATGTGCTGCTGATTCCCCGCGTGCTCGACTGCTTGCCTCAGAGGATTGACCCTGATAGTTTCTTGCTCGCCCTTCATATGGCAGCGGAAGCAGGGAGCCCTTACTTTAGGCTCGGGTACAACAGCTTGGGTGCCTTTGCCACCATCAATCATCTGCATTTCCAGGTATATCCTCCAGAGTTGCTCGGTCTTGCTGTTTCATCTCTGCTTATAGCTACTGTTAGATTGACACAATAAGTCACTGTGATGAAGTCTGCAGAAAGATTGACCAAGCAAGATTTTTATTGTGTCAAGACAGGCTTATTTCTTATCCATGCCCTTTCCTGTGGAGAAAAATTCCACTCAAAGGATTCCAATTGTTGGAGGTCTGTCCCATAATGGAGTGAAGGTCTCACGATTGCTGAATTATCCCGTGAGGGGTCTTGTTTATGAGGGAGGAAATACTTTGAAGGACTTATCCGATGTAGTTGCCAACTCCTGCATCTGTCTCCAAGAGAACAATATCCCATTTAATGTTCTTATATCTGACTCTGGCCGGAGGATCTTCCTCTTTCCCCAGGTAAATTGCATTTGCTGTTTCCATCCGCCTCCATTCATCTTAGCATGGGCTTATTGTGTAGGTGGCCTAGTGAACTGCACTTCTCTGGTTTGTTAGGTGATCTGTAATAAGAATAAGCTTTTTTCACTTTTAATGTAGGTTTGGTCCTGGTAAATTCTGTGACAGATAATGCAAGAAAGAAGTATGAAATGGATAAATGTCTCTTACAGACAGGACTTGGAATCAGTTTATGCAATTCTTATATCATCCTGTGATAGATGGAAATTGATCAATGCATAGGATGCTTGATGTAAATGGGAATTACGGTATTGCAGTCATTACATTTTACTTTTCAGTTTATGCTATTACATTTTAGCTTGTCAAAAGCCTTTCTTTGAGAGTCCACAGATAGTTCTGCCCCAAAGACAAATAAATGAATTGGATAACTGGCTCTTATGGACAGAATCTGGAATCATTCAATGTGATTCGAATGTCATCTTGATAGTATATAAATATCGTTGAATGTCTAGGATGGTTAATGTTAAAGGGAATTATGCTTTTTACCTTTGACTCTCTGTTTATACTATTACATTTTAGCTTCGTAAAAGCATTTGACAATACACAAATCCTTCTGCTGCAAAGATATAAATGAGAAACCATGGATGGAAAACTAAAAACTTCTGCGACCAAGCATTTCATGAACAACTTGCTCTTTTTACATATTTATCATATTGCAAGTATTTTTGTGTATCATATCTGCCTTAAGTTTATCAATTTGTATAGGTTACATCATGCTGACATTGAGCTAAAGAAAAAAAAAAAGGAGAAGACATGATTAAGGAAAACAAACTTGGTTGTCTAACTTCTGGGTTTACATGGAAAAGATGCATTAATGACATTATGGATTTAACATCGTTTAGGCTTATTCCATCTTTTCCATTATATGCATGCTCAAGGAAGTAGATGAGATAGATGTTCTCAAGTCTCATCCGTACTAGGTGTCGCTAATGGAGCTTGCATTTTTCTGGTAGTACTTTTTTTTGACTGACCTTTCTTGCTTGCAGTGGTGCTTGTTCTTAGCACTCTTAACTCTAGAGAAAGAAGAGTTAGGTTGGTGCTGATAGGCTTTCTCCCTTTTCCGCACCTTGCAGTGTTATGCTGAGAAACAGGCACTGGGTGAAGTGGGCCAGGACCTTTTAGATACTCAAGTGAATCCAGCTGTGTGGGAGATCAGTGGGCACATAGTCCTGAAGCGGAAGAAAGATTACGATGAGGCATCAGAGCACTATGCATGGAGGCTCTTGGCTGAGGTCTCCCTCTCGGAGGCAAGGTTTGAAGAAGTGAAAGTGTACATCTTTGAGGCCACTGGTCTGGTGGAGTCTGAGAAGGAAAAGATGGAGCCAGGAGATGACAGAGGAGCCCCATTTCAATCCCCATCCCCAGTGGGCACTGCTTCTCCTCACCTGAAGGTTGCCTGATTCTTCTGAATTGCCTACTGATTTGCTTCTGCCTACCTACCAAGAAGAATGAGAGCACCAAAGTTCTGTCTTCCGTGTGTTTGTGTTGTGTAACACTGGGTCTTTTGACAAGGCAAGTGTGGTTCTCATGTAGCTTTGAACCCACTGCTGATTCAAGACTTCCATTGTCCACTGATATTTATGAACAGTAATGACAGCAACTTTCTCCTTATGCTTGTTCTTCATAGTCTCTCTAATTTCATCAGTCTTCTCTGAGGTTTTGTTCATGATAAATATAAAGGGCAGCTTTGGTTTTTGTCCTTGTATCAACACCATCACATCTTGTTTTTGTTAAAGCTTGTTCTTTATAGTTTGCCCATATTTCATAGTCTTTTGCATAGAGCTTAGTGTTTATTTAATTACGAAGTTTGAACTTCGTTGCAAGTTCAATTCTATCAGCTTGGGTCTGACAAAGCTCAGCCATGAAACATTCATTCTTATTGGGAGAATATGAATTGGTTAGATGTGTCTTTGCAGGGAAAGTGATTGTAGAAACAACTTGGAGCAAGAGACATGGCTGCAGAGATTCCACAGTAAATGTTTCTTCAGATATATTACTCTTTATCATCCACATTCCAAATTTGTCAGAGCTCAAATTATGAGCAACTTTACTTTGCATTTCCCAACTATGTCACATGTTGAATTATTGGATTTGACTCTCCTTCCACCAGCTATAGCACTAATAGAACTTGGTCACCACCAGCTATAGCCTCGATTAAGCTCTTTCTTGATTGGGTCATTCACCATTGCACTATGATACCATTTATATGGATCCACTTAAAATGCTTAGACCAACCTACTATAATCTTAGGAACTGACTTAATGTCAGGACTTCAGTTTGTAGTTAAAGTAGCTAACAACTTAAAATTTATAGCAGGATGCTTTAAACACTAAGTCTAAAGTAAGTGGGTCACATACATCATACTAATATTTTAATATATAAATATACTTATATTACCTTTAAACTATTGAAGTTAATTTGATATTATAATTAGTAAGTCATTGTCCCAGATGAAAATTGATTCAAATCTGATCTATTTTTTTCTTCGAGTCGGTCTCAAGTCAAATTTCGATACTCTATTTGGAACCCCTAAAATGTTATGTTAAGAGTGATTCTAAGTGTAATTTGTGTATATTTGAAATATATTTATGAAACCCTTTTTATAGTGAATTCATTCAACTGTTACCTCTAAATGATATGAGAATATGGTGCTGTGATCTCAAACATAATTATTAACAATCTATGTGGAGTCCAAGACCATATAATGTTTTGACATATGATATAGATTTGATGATAATGTCTGAATAGTTAGTGGGATAAGCTAAAACTATTGAGTATCATCGTACTTATCATATGACATAACAGTGTCAGTCATTTGACATCGAGATGTCGATCACATGATATCGTGGGGTGGGGTTGGTTGTGTAATGTTAAGATATTGGTCATCTAGCCTTAACATATCAATCATATGGTGTTGTCAATCGTTTGGTGCCAAGGTATTCACCTCCATGTGCCAACGAATTGATCGTATGATGTTGAGGAGTCTACCGTGTGATCCTCTAGTGTTATCACAACAAAATATCTTATAATAGTACTTCTTTCCCTCGATCATCAATGTGTACTCCATTGTCATTCATCGATAAGTTTCGTCGTAAAATATACTTACATTACAAGACCTGAAACTAGTAGGCTTGATTAAAATATTAATTAAAAAATTTAAGAAATCAATTGACAAAAAATAAAGGTTGGAGACCGAATAAAAAAATTATTATTATCTATGATCACATCCCGTTCTAACGATCCTAACATAATTTCTCAATCAAAAACTGATTTTTTTTTCCAGAAAATACCCTAAAATTCATTTTTATAAATATTTTCCTTGTCTTAATTTTAGTGGCACATCCTCCTGTCCGACGAGACTCAAGGCACGATTCCAGCCACGAGGTGCGTGGGTACACTCGTTCGCCATCGTAACTTGAGTCGTTGCTTGACATGTGCAGCAATTCGAAGTCACCCCATCGCGTACCGATCAGTCCCTTAAACCCGCGAGAACGTAAAACGTGGGGCCCTCTCCGCCCCCACCAGTCCAAAATCCCTGTTTGGCAATCCCCTACCCACCGCGGTCCTTCGCTCGATTGCTTCTGTCACATGACAACGTGATTCGTCGGAGTGAGCTTTGCTCGACTTCCATTCGTATGCCGCTTTGTGTGCATATAGGTCGTAGACGGTTAGCGTACGCGAGCTACCTTCCCTCGTCTCTTCCTCCGCCCTTTTCTGGTTCTTGGATGGGCAAACCCTAGCGATCGGAGAAACGAGCCCTGATCCAGGGAACTCAAGGATGTTCTCGCGGTGGGAGTTCTCGCGATCGAGCGTGGTCAAGCGCGTGTGTAAGTTCCTCCTGAAGAAGAAGCTCGGGGAGGTGATATTGGGGGACATCGACCTCGACCAGCTTGATGTCCAGCTCAGCACCGGTACCATCCACCTCACCGACCTCGCTCTGAACGTCGATTTCCTCAACCAGAAGGTGATCATGTAGCTCCCCCCTTTCCTTTTCTCTTTTCTTCCGCTTCTTTAGGGTTTCCTTTTTCTCGTTTTTTAGTTTGCAATTGAGATGCAATGCTTTGGCTGGCTGTTCTTTTGTTTTTGGGTGATTTCTCGATAGTTTCCCAGTATCCGGTAATAAAAAGAGAAGCTGTATGAATAAACTGTGGATTTTGTTGAATGTTGCGATCACAATTATCGTACGGAGATTTGGACCACTCAAGATTCTTGATTTGTCCGCTAAATGCAGGCTGGATATGTAGTGGTGCGTCGGGTGTATTACGTAGCGGTAGGTGATGGACCGATATATACCTGTGGGATCGTCAGGACGAACATAATTTGAGACTTTAATTGTCACAGAGGTTTGAAAGATTCAGTAAGTGGGGTTTATGGGCTTTTTTGTTCTAATTGGATATTGAGGGTTGTTGTTTGCATTTCACTAAGAGGTAGACCCTTGTAAAACCATTAGTAATGTCTAGTGAAAATTCAGTTAAGATATTGGTTGCTGAAAGAAATTCTTCTTCTAGCATGTTAATGGTAAAGTTTGTTTAAACTTGGAAATCAACAAACTTATACATTGGACGATCTAAACAACTTTTAAGTATATATCATTCTGAGAGTTTATTCTCTATTGCAAAGATAATGATCTGGGTAGTTTCTAGTTGATAGCATTATGTGAAAATTACTGAGGTAGCATTACTAGGAAATCAAATCCTGTAAATGACAAATATTTAGCTTTTGCAGTCTTCTTAAATTGATTTTCTGACATCATGAGGTGAAAATTTGCTTTTATGCTTCTTGATGATAGAGTTTTCCTTTTATCCCCCTGAAAAAATTGAATGTGTTGACTACACACTGTTGTGAAACTTGACCACATGTCTTGACAGGTTGTCTCTTTTGGTTCATTGTTGCCAAACAACTTCAAAGTGCTGGTTTAAGTTCTTGGTAGATTACACCATATTTTCATCTCTTATGTCACTAGTAGAGTTGTTCCTCTGTTTCAAACTTAGTTTTGTTGATTTGTTTGTGTTTCAGGTTTCTGGCATGCCAATTGTGATCAAAGAAGGATCATTAAAATCCTTATCTATTAGAATTCCTTGGAAGCTTAGAAACTGTGAGATAGAAATTAATGAAATTGAGCTTGTACTTGAACCATTTAGAGGTAACAATATTTCTCTCGCTGATGCAAAATGTAAATTGGCACATGATGGCCAACAATATATGAAAACCAATTCAGACAAGATTGAGCTGGGGCCTGCTCAGTATTACCATGGTTCTATTCCTCTAGATGTTCATGAAGGAGTTAAAACGATTGCCAAGATTGTGAAGTGGTTCCTAACAAGCTTTCATGTTAAACTAAATGGAATTATAGTTGCATTTGATCCCTGTTTAGATCTGGATGAAAGAAGAAACAGATCACATGAACTATTAGTTTTTCGAGTTAAAGAAACTGAATTTGGAACTTGTGTTTCTGAGGATTCTATGGCAAAGTTGACGAACTTCGTTAACTTTTGTGAAGCTAACATTGAGTTTCTTCTAATAGATGATATTGACAAGGGTATTGAACTTCATAGTGTTACAGGAAAGAGCTTTAATGAAAGATTTTTGCGACATGGTACTACTCCAATTTTGACTGGTGCAAGTGGTGGGTTCTCAGGGACATTGAACTTAAGCATACCATGGAAGAATGGATATTTGGATATACATAAAGTTGATGCAGATGTTTCCATCGATCCCATGGAATTAAGGGTGCAACCCAGCAGCATCGAGTGGCTCATAGCCACGTGGCATTCTCTGAAGAACATTAGAGAATCTCAATGGACCTACAATCATAAACGTCCAGATTCTTTTAAATTTAGTTGCAAAAGTGGCAACCACTCATCAATGTCATGTACTGTATATCTAGATGCTGATGCTGAGACACCAGTTAAGGCCAATGAAGTAAGAAGCGTTTATTCTGCAATCACTCCAGAGGTAGTTCCGAATATGTTGCTTATGAGGACGAATGTGATTCACAATTGGATCCCAGAATATGTTTATCATGAGGATCAAAGTGATGTTGAGCCAGATTTGGGTGCAAGGTCTGTTTTCTGAACTTTAAATGATGACTACATGACATGGTAATATTGTCCATGCCCGTTAAATAAATTCTTTCCCTAGATATTATCTCAGCAATGCCATTTTTTCCAAAATACGTGTATAGGAGTGACATATTGTTGTGTCATATAGTAGCTATTGAAATCCACTATTGTTTCTTATTTTTGCCATCTTAACTATTTCCGTGCCTTATAGAAGCTATTTTCGTTTAATTGTTCTTGTGGATGAAACCACATTCTTACATGTATCTGTTAGCTTGATAATGCTTTCTTTCTTTCTTGGTTTAACTATAAGATGAGAACAACAAAACAGGAATATATTCATGTAAAAGAGGCTTGTAAGAGTTTCAAGAGAATACATAAAAATGTTTCTGACAAGGTTATTCATGTGGTGTTTATTAAGGCCCAAATTTGACTTTGTCTCATGTTAGGTGAGGCTTTTTGCTCCACTGAGGCATACTTTGCTTCCCTTGTAGTGAACTACGTTGTGAGATTAACATCCTAGTCCTTATGACCAGATGGAAGTTATCTTCTGTGCAATCAGAAA